CATTTTGCTCACACTGTCGTTAACTATTTAACGATGTTACGACATGGCATAAGAGATGTCATAGGCATCAAAATGACATTGTTTTGAAAAACTCAAATATATATCAAAACGACGTCGTTTAGAATCATTATAAAAACTTTTTTCTTCTTCATTTCTTTAATTTTTTTCTTTTTTCTTCCCCCATTTTCTATGCACTCTACAACTGGTTGTCGCTATCAGCCACCACGCCATTTTCATTTCGGTCACCGTTCATCGTCGTTGATGGTGGCCATTCGATCTCAAATTTCATGGGCCGTTTCATTTCAACCCCATGAGTCTAAATTTGGTGGCTGTTTCATCAGAAAATGTCTCAAAACCCGTGAATCTAAACTAAAACTTTTTGGCTTCCTCACTTTCAATCTTAAATTTGTGGACTTATGAGCAAGTTCTGACAAAATGGATGTCAGATTTAGACTCACGATGTCGAGGTGAAGTGACCCATGAAATTTAAGACCGAACGACCACCATCTACGGTAATCGACAGTGAACGGTAGTGGCATTTGACCACCTTCAGTTTTTTTTTTAAATTATTTTATATTAAAAACAAATAAATAATGCAATGTCATCAAATCGTTAGAGAGATAACGGGGAATGAGCAAAATGATGCAAATTGTAAAGTTTAGTGAGCAAATTAGAAAAATTGAAAGTATAGTGAGCAAAATAGGAGAGAAAATAAAGTAACGTGATGAATGGTGTAATTTACCTAATAAAAAATTATATCTAAAAAAAAGTAGTCCAGCTGAAGCGGAAAGTGCAATTGGAGAGTGTAAAGCAAATCCCACATGTTAAAATGAAACCCCTTTATTATTATTTTTAGTTAATTGCATCGTATGTCCTTAAACTACAACTCTCATTTTAAATGTATTCATAAAATTTTATATATTTCAATTTAATCCTTAAATGATGACCCTCATTCTAAATTAGTCCTTAAAATTTTGAAAATTCTATTTTAATCCCTAAATATAACCCTATTTATAAATTGGTCCACAAACTTTTGACTATTCTAATTTCATCCTCAATTTCATCCAAATATGTAATTAGTTTCAACCATGATTTAACTTAGCCTAACGATTTTATTAACAAGGGATGCTATTAGTATCTACGTATAGTTTGGGATGAAATTGGAATGTTCAAAAAAATTGAGGACATTTAGAATAAAGGTCATAGTTTGGGGATGATATTGAAGTGTCCAAAGGTTGAGAACTAATTTAGAATGATAGTCACATTTTAGGGATGAGATTAAAACATTTAAAGTTTAGAGAATAATTTAAAATGAGGATCATACTTTGAGGACATGTGATGCAATTAACTCTTTATTCTAGGTAAACTACACTAGTGTCAATTGTGAATTTAAATAAACAAATCATTTTTCTAAATTAAAACTAAGTTTTTTTATCGTTTAAATTGAAACGAACATCTAATGTGTCTTAATATAATAATATTTTTAGTCCCTAAAATTTATTCATTATATTAATTTTATTTTAAATCAAAATAATTTAATAAATTATATTTTATATTTAAAACTTTTATCAATTTAATATTTTTTCTGTGATACTATCAAATTGAGCGAGTCTACTAGATAAAAAAATAATTGAATAATTACATTTGATCATAAAATAACAAATTACTCGTAAACTCTTATTTGACCATGAAAGTAACAAGAAAATAATATATCATTTGAGAGGAAAGAGCAAATAGTTCAAGAGAAAAACAAATATTAAACCAATGATAATTTTAAATATGGATGGTTAAATTTATATTGTAGAGGAACTAAATTATTAAAATAGATCGACTAAATTTCGAATATACAAAGAATACAAGGACTTTAAGCATATTTTAACCTAAAATAGTCATGTTGAGTCTTGTCTCAAAATTCTCAAATTCTTATTCAACATCGATCATTCTTTGTGTTTTGGGTTGATATAATAACTTGTTTCTCTATCATAATTCTATTTTTAAATCAATTCAAATTGAAAAAGAGTATCCCGGTAATTCAATCTTTAAACATATATACTTATAATTTACGTGAATATCATGTTTTATGTTTTTTTATTATAATAATCATGCAGATATAAGCATAAAAAATATTAAATATACTAAAATTTTATTTTTTAATATTATTCAGAATTTTTATTAACTATTAATGATGCACACACACATTACAAATATAATTGCTTAAACCCAAAATCTTTAAAGAAAAACTCTGTCTAATACTAAAATCACTCAAAAAATTTGTTAAAATTCTAAATATAAATACATGTATTCGTGTTGAGATTAAAATTATAACACCTAATCTATTCTTGGTGAAGCAATAGCTTGTGGCCCTAAACTTTTCCAAACTCTTCGTTGGAGTTCAAATTAAATTGGGTTTGAATTAAATAAAATATGCTTATATAATCGAGTAGTAAATCTTGGTCCATGATGATTTAAATAAAAAAAAGATAATATTTAATGGGATAAAAAGAATTCCATTTCTAAATAAATATGTCACTAATTTATAATATAATCTTTTCATTTTATAGTTGTCGTGTTAATTTTTTTTAATTTAAAAATGTCACATCAATGAATTTAACCATTATTTAACCGATATAATTAATCAAATTTAAATTTTAAAAATCTAAAAAATAAAGGAATTATATTCTTGAAAATAAAAGTATGAGGACTACATTCCAAATGTATGAAGAGTACAAGGGCTAGCGACATGTTTTAATCTTAAAAAAACATTAACTCCATCTATTTTCATTTATGCGATTATATTTGTAATATTAATTAAAATCATAATATTAACTATTACATCAGTTTAACCTAAAAAAATTCTTAATAATATAACAAATTCTTTACGTGAATGTAATAGTTATGCGTTGAAGTTTTTCATTGAATTGGGTTAGAATCTCAGGCTAAATAGTTTTTTTTATCTCATTTTCTGATCAACTAAAGAGTGACATGTGTTATTATTTTTTTTAAGGTGATGTATTATTGGGTATATAATGGGGGATTGTCTCAGGAAAGGCGGGCTAATATACGGCTAATATACGGTGTTACCGGATACATTATAATATATTTAACAAATTCGGTTAGCGCTACCTGAAATATCGAGTAATAACAATGTTGTAGGTGGAAATCATGAAGAAATATTAAAAAATTTGACAACCGACAAACTTAGCTTGTAGGTTTGTGTCGATACAAATTAAAAATGTATCGATCCATAGCAACATAACAAGTAAAAATATGATAAAACCGATGTCATTATGATAAAACCGGTAAAGCGCTACCGGATATATTGAAAGTGTCGATAAATTAATATAAGTGTCGACACTTTTGTAATTTAAAAGAGAAGAATTATAGCGTCTAAAAGGTGTCGATACTTTATAAAAATGTATCGATTCATATCAATATAACAGGTAATAATATGACAAAACAGGTCTCGAAATGATAAATCAGTAAAAAGCTACCGGATATATTGAAAGTGTCGATAAATTAATATAAGTATCGACACTTTTGTAATTTAAAAGAGAAGAAGTTATAGCGTCTGAAAAGTGTCGATACTTTATAATTAATAATTCTTCAAAATTAGGTGACTAAATTGATAATTCTTCAAAATTAGGTGACTAAATTTCAAATTAAATGATAAAATTACAAGCACCAAATAGTTGAGTGACTATTCAAGTATTTTACCATTTTCAAAATAAATACTTACGCTTTAACATATTATACACTTACGATTAAAAATAGCTGCTTGCCCCTAAGTTTTCATGAAAAGAACATTAAAAGCCTAAAGTTTATAATTTTAAAGTGAATAAGAAATAAAAAAAGATAAATTTATCCTATATTAAATAATTATTTTCCTTAAAAATTACTTATTTTTGTTCAAGGCTTTTCCAGATACAAAATAATGAAAAATTATAATTTATAATTATATATTAAAGATATTTCTTCATAGCCAACGTTATTAGAAGAAACAATCATACAAACAAATATAAAACATAAAAAAAATATAAATCATAAAAAAATTCCTTATGAGAAATTCAGGAAATTGAAAGCTTACAAAGAAATGGAATAAATAGATTTATATGGGTGAATTTTGTCTTACAAAGGGACAATTAAGTAAATCAATGTATCAAATAATAATTCATAAATTCATATATCTAATTTTTTATATTAATAATATTTTATAGTTATCATCCTGAATTTTAAAAATTTTGTCTTGACTAAATCGGATCGATCCATGTCGCATTTTATATCAATAACCACCATCACTCTCGGTGAGCAATCTATAAATTCCTATAAAAATTTCAATTAGATCTTAGGTATGCCCTGAACTGAACTGGGGAGCCACCCCTAACCTAAACTTTTTATAGATAGATTATTACGAAAAGAAAAAAAGTCAATATGGGCTAATGAAAATATAATAATTACCTAATTCACATACAAAAACGGTTAATATTTAAATATATAATAGTTTTGATTGATATAATTAAAATATTGATTCAATTTAAAATTACATGTGCATCATGACTCCAATTATATGGATGCATATAACATTAATTTTTTTTATCTTTTAAAAAGCTTTTATTATGAGGGAGTTACACTAAAACACATCATTTTCTTTCAATTATAATCATTAATTTGCAGTTACATAAGATTAACTCTTTTAATTAAATGGGAAAAATCGTTTTGCAGTTACATATGTTAAAATATATATATTTTCAATAATTAATCTAATAAATTTATCATGACAAATATCACAAAGCAAAACACACGGCTAAGTATTAAATAAGCTAGAGATGGTCAGGATAGGTTCGTGCATGAATGGCTAGTTTTATATCCATCCATGGCGGCGCACCATCTTCCACTAATATCAATAATTACCTCATTTCTTCATATGCATACACACACATATATATTCATCGGTTCTTCACATTTCCAAAACCATAATTTCTCTTACAATACTTTAACGTAAAATGGGAAGTCACTGCTCCTTCAATGGCGGTTGGTCTAAGTCTGATAATCATCATGTGGTTAAACGAGGAGAATGTTCATCACTTATCCCTCCCCATCTTCCTCTAGATTTAAGGTAAGTTGGGGTTTAGTATCTTATATGTTTGTAATCGCGATTATTACCGTCTCGTAAAATGGAGTTCATTTTGTCTCTCAGTGCGAGTGTGTTGTTGGATTGGCAGCAAAACCACGCCGATGAGTTTCCCATCCAAGAGAGCTTTTACGACGATGCTTATCTTCCATTGATGAACAGTTCTTGCTTATATGCTCCTTTGGACATTGAACATAGTCCAACAACACAAGGTGATATTTTTTTAAGAAAAGTTTCGAGTTTTATGATGAAATGAAAAACAATGTTTAGTTTAAGTTGTTATCTGAATCGACTTTGGATTTGATTAGGACTCTATCATTTAAGAGTCTGATCCGACTTATCTTTAGATTTAATTACGACCCGAGCACAAAGGGTTGGGATTCGTATATTAATGCAGTTTTAGTAACATGTTTGCAGAGGAGCACCTTCTTGGATATGAAAATGGCAGTGGGTTTTGGAATGAGCTTGGAGCATTGTTTGAACCCAAAAATCAAAAGCTTTTGAAGGTTGATAATGGAGATCGTTGTGGAGAGCAAGGATTGATGAAGGAAAATAAGGCTAAAAGGGAAAAGAAAAGCAACCCTAATGCTAAATTGCTGTCTAAGGAAGTGATCTCCCAATACTTTTACATGCCCATAACACAAGCTGCTAAAGAGCTTAACGTAGGGTTGACATTGTTGAAGAAAAGGTGTCGGGAACTCGGAATCCGCCGGTGGCCACACCGGAAGCTTATGAGCCTCAAAAACCCTTATTAACAACATTCAGGTACGTACATGATATCTTCCTCGGGTCGACAATTTTTTTTTACGTAAAATAACACGAATACGAACATGAATACTTAGGTGTTGCAGACGGAAGAAGAAGGGGAGGGAAGCGAGAAGAAACTGAGGGAAGCAATGGAGGTTTTGGGACAGGAGAAGAAGATGTTGGAAATGATGCCGGACATGGAACTGGAAGACAAAACTAAGAGGCTTAGACAAGCGTGTTTCAAAGCGAATTACAAGAAGAGGAAGCTGATGAAGTCGACAACGATGGAGCAGTCGCCGCTGTCGATGTCGTCTTCTGGTACTACTGCTGCTGGTAGAGTACTACCTTATGACATGAGAAATGATGAAGAAGAAGAAGAAGCAGAAATGAAAGCTCTTTCATCCAACTCTTTTTCGTCGACCAACATCATCATCTAATCCCAAATTTGACGGTTTTCATTAAGAGATACTATGAGTGTTGATCCTATCGATCTTTTTGTCTCATGGTTTCTTGTTTGTTTGTAAATTCTATACATAAATGTAGTGGTGAATTTAGAAATTTAAAAATTAGATTAAAAAATTTTAATACTATTTTCTCTTCATCAATATGTATACAAATTTTCATATATATTTTTCTTCCCTTAATAAATTGAATTATATTTAATACATCGGTCTCTATATAAATGATAAATTTTCTATTTTATTATTATTATTATTATTAAGTCTTATTATTGTATGACATTTGATTTATGATTTAAATTTTATCATTTTAGAAATTAAGTGGGATCTATAGATAGGTCAAATTTTCTCTAATTTTTTTAGTTACTTGTTTGTTTATTTTTTTTTTCACCTTCATTAACGAGTGGCGACATTAGTTTTAGGGTTAGTTGTCTGTCGATTTTTTTTAGTCTATTTTTACTATACATATTTCTCTATTTTTTGGTATATATATATTTTATTTTATTTATCAGTCGCTTAATAGTTACTTTCATTTAATTTCTCAAGTTTGAATTTGATATCGTCTCGACTGATCAAGATGTTGTTTGTTTATTATTTTGTTGATTTTCTATGCTTTGGACTCTAAGATTGGATTTGGATATGTGGTTTGCGTTCAGAGATAGTTGTCTCACGACGCTCGAATCTAATTTGTGATTGTCAATGGTCTTTCAATAGTTTCATCTCTTGTTGTGGTTCGTGCCGATGCAATCAGATATGTTCGTATCAATTTTTGTTCAAGTTTTTGTATGAGTTTTTAACGTTTTCATTGTATGATCCTTGTATGATCTCAAATGACTAGTTTCTTGTGTAATGATTATAGGAAAATGTATTGATTATGTGTTTAGTTTAGATATGTAATTATAAGTCTTTCTTTGTAATTTTAGATAATTATATATATATATAATAATAAAACTAGCCACTTATAATTGCATAAAAAACAATTTTATAAATTAAGATGAAGTTGACTAAAATATACCAAAGAGATGAATTATCTGTAATTTATATATAATACAAGGATTATAAAGGTAATTTGACCGAAATCATTTCACAAATTTCTTGTCAGGGCATCTCCAATGCTACTCCACTTTGGAGATAGTATTCTCTCCAACCCATCGCCAAAAACCATATTCATTGTGACGATCTGTTACAAATTTTTTTGTATTTTTTTTAAATTTAAGTAGATTAAATTGTAAGATAGATAAAAATACATTGAAATTAGAAATAAAACGGTTCATTTTACTCTATGAAATGCACTAATTGAACATTTGTTGAATGAATATTCTAATTTCGAGAATTAAAATATATAATTATGTAACTTATATTTTTTTGCATTATTATTATGAATTATAATTTTTTTATTTATTTGTATTTTCGTAATATTATTTATGAATGTTTTATTTATTTTTTTATCTTGATATTTATTAGAAATATATATGTTTTATTTTATATTTACAAAATTAATACTATAATAATTAAATATTATAAATAAAATAGAATTGATGATAATGTAAAGTACTAAAAATGAATTATTGTTTACCTCCAAATAGATACGAAGGCCGGAGATGACCTTAGGGGCTTAAAACAAGAGAAGGCAAAAAGAGGAAACAGAGCGGGAATGACGCAAATTTCAGCATTCATCAACAAAGAGAAGCGCATCGTCTCCTCCATTAAGCTCTCCATCTCTTCTTCCACAAGCATATGCATCTCATTTCATCGACATTTCACGCCCGACACCTCCCAAGGAACATTTCAAAGCAGCAATCAAAACCCAAAGCCAATACTACAACAAGAACAACATAGACAAAGCATAGTTTCCCTCATAAAATCCACCACCCATGAACCCCATTTACTTCAAATCCAAGCTCACATTACACGTTATTCCCTTCTCCAAAACTCCAGAATTTCCCTCCTGTTTCTATCCTCCCTTTGTTCTTCTGCTCCCCGTGATATTCGCTATTCCCGCCTTTTCTTCTCTCAAATAGAAAACCCAGCCGCCTCTCACTACAACACTCTCATCAGAGCTTACTCTTCCAGCAATTCACCTAAAGAAGCCTTTTCTCTCTACAAAGAAATGAGACAAAAGGGTCTAAAGCCTGACCCCATATCGTTTTCTTTCGTCATTAAATCTTGTATCAAGTTTCGTTTGGTTTTTTGTGGTTTACAGGTTCATGGAAGGATCTTAAGAGATGGGTTTCGATCGGATTGTCTTTTACTTACTACTTTGTTGAATTTTTATTCGAGCTTTGCGAGCCGGGAAGAGGCTTGTAAAGTGTTCGATGAAATGCCTCAGAAAGACACCGTGGCGTGGAATGTATTGATTTCTTGTTATCTACGTAATGGAAGGACTAGGGATGTGTTAATGTTGTTTGATAGCATGAAAAATGAGAGTTTTTGCATACCTGATGATGTTACTTGTCTCTTTGTAACACAAGCTTGTGCTAATCTGGGGGCGCTAGAGTTTGGCGAAAAGGTTCATCGTTATATTGAAGAACGTGGTTACGGGAGTGCTCGTAATCTGTGCAATTCGCTTATAGCAATGTATTCTCGGTGTGGATGTTTGGATAAGGCTTATGATGTTTTTAAGGGAATCAGAGAGAAGGACGTTATTTCATGGAGTGCTATGATATCCGGGTTGGCTATGAATGGATATGGCAGAGATGCAATTCTAGCTTTTGAAGAGATGCAGAGAATGAGTATATCCCCCGATGAACAAACGTTTACGGGAGTTCTTTCCGCTTGTAGCCATTGTGGTTTAGTTGATGAAGGGATGGAGTTTCTTAATAGTATGAGCATAGAGTTTGGAATAAAGCCTAATATTCATCATTATGGGTGTGTGGTCGATCTTTTAGGCCGTGCCGGTTTACTCGATCAAGCTTATCACGTCATAATATCAATGAAAGTTAAGCCAGATGCAACCATTTGGAGGACCTTGCTTGGAGCTTGTAGAATCCATGGTCATTTCACACTTGGAGAACGAGTAATCGAACATCTGGTTGAACTTAAGGCTCAAGAAGCAGGCGATTATGTTTTGCTATTGAATATTTATTCATCAGCTGGTAATTGGGAGAAGGCGATGGAACTGAGGAAGTTTCTTAAGGACAAAGGCATACAAACAACACCTGGCTGTAGTTCAATCGAGATTAAAGGAGTGGTACATGATTTTGTCGTGGACGACATTTTGCATCCACGGAAGCACGAGATCTACGATAAGCTAGATGAGATTAATAAGCAGCTGAAGATTGCTGGTTATGTTGCTGAAATGACATCAGAATTACATGACTTGGGTGCAGACGAAAAGGCAAATGCACTCTCTTATCACAGTGAGAAGCTGGCTCTTGCTTTCGGGGTTCTAGCGACTCCACCTGGTGTAACATTGAGAGTTACCAAGAATCTTCGTATTTGCATTGATTGTCACAATTTCGCAAAGTTTCTTTCTGGGGTCTATAACAGGAAGGTAATAATCCGAGATCGAACCAGGTTTCATCATTTCAGAGATGGACATTGCTCTTGTAATGACTATTGGTAGGGAAGCTTCAGGGTTGTACAAAACAATCTGCACAGTGTTAACCTTCATCAACCCTCCGAATTTATGTTGCAAGTACGACGGGAGAGGTGGCGGTTTACGGTGCTAAACACAGCGGATGTGCATTAGGGATTTTCGGTTCACATCTTCTGGTGTGGACACAGAACCGCAAGTGAGAGAGACATAGACAAAGAGAGATCCATATTCTTTGATCTTTCTTTTGTGTTGTATCTATCTTTCCTGTTTATACCATCTTTTATCCTAGGATCAGTTCATAGATAAGGCCAGATCAAAAGTTGAGGTTCGAGTTCTGATGTGTCAGTTTTTATTATCCATACAGTTGATAAATGATAACCTTCCTATTTATTACTAATGTGTTTTTGAGCTATCCGGCAATAAACGAAATAGTATAATACTGTCCCCAAGCTTTAATGCTTTGGGTCTGAAAGGGATCAATAATAATAATAGTTACTATAGATTTAAAACCATGCTCTGCCTGAATGAGAGGCTCTAGGAACACCAGAGTTATTTTAATAATGTGTTTGAATATCAATTTATATTAATTGATATTTTGCATTAATATTATATTTGACTAATTTAAATATAAATATTTAATTCCTTAAAGATTTTTTTTTTAAAAAATACAACCATCTTTTAAAGAAAAGTTGAACATACGTAGTTTAAGATAGGTACATGATATATAAGCTATCATAAACTTTGAATTTTGACATTATAAATGAAATAAATTGAACCAAGAAAGTTGTCTCTATAATCAATTTCTATAATACAACTCCGGTGATTATAGAAAATAACTTGAATATCACTGATGAGATCACTTTCCATGTGTTCTAGTTGTAGTCGGCTATCAATCTCCCTCTAGAAAGGGATGCTTTACTGCATAGCCAAAGCCATTGCAAACATCAAAATATACGCTATCAATTTCTAGTTAGCTATCAATTTCTCATGAATTAGATGCTTACAAGAAAGGTGTGAATAGAACTTGCAGCTTCTTTATAAATTAAATCAAGAACAAGGAACCGGCAAGCTTCCTCGTATGATACTTCAATCAAACAAATCTCTCAATGGCATTATTAATCTTTTCCTTGGTGTTCTTGGCTCTCATTTGCTTTCTATTCCTCTACTGCTTTAGAAATAAACATGGTTCCCCCAAGAGTTTTCCGATTGTCGGGATGATGCCGGAGCTTCTCCTCAACGTTCATCGGGTTTACGATTGGCATACCGAGACTCTCGACAGGTGCCGTTGCACTTTTCTTGTTAAAGGCCTTTGGTTTGGTAACATGAACACGATGGTGACCTGTGACCCCGCCAACATTCACTACATCATGACCTCCAACTTCAACAACTTCCCCAAAGGATCCGAATACAAACAGATGTTTGATTTCTTGGGAGACGGGATATTCAACTCAAACTCGGATTTATGGAAGAAGCAGAGGAGGGCTACTTATGAATTCGTAAAAAAACAGCAGTTCCACAATTTTTTGTCAAAGACTACTCGAGATAAGGTCGAAAACGGGCTTATTCGAGTCCTTGATCATGTCACCGATCTAGGGTCGACAGTCGATTTAGAAGATGTATTCCAAAGGTTCATGTTTGATTCCACTTGCATCTTGTTCATCGGCAATGACCCTCGGTGCCTCTCGGTTGAATTCCCCGAAGTTCGATTCTCAAAGGCCTTGGATGAAGTCGTGGAAGCGATATTCTACCGGCATGTCTGGCCATTGAGTTTTATAAAGTTGATGAGGTTTTTGAACATAGGACAAGAGAAAAAATATAAAAAGGCATGGAGAGTTCTTGATGATATAATAGCTACTATTATACGCCGGAGAAGAAAAGAACTGAAGGAAGGGTCGGCATCGGAAATCGGCAAAGACGGTGTGGATCTTATAACATCATACATAACCGAAGAGAAGCCAACAGGTTTGGAATGCGATGATAAGTTCTTGAGAGACACCGTCTTGAACATGATGCTTGCAGGGAGGGACACGACGAGCGCGGCTCTTACTTGGTTCATTTGGCTGGTTTCAAAGCATCCGACAGTCGAAAACAAGATCATCGAAGAGCTTGAATCAATAATAGTACCGCCGGAGGAAACCAAGAAACGGCGACTGTTCAATGCCGATGAGGTGAAGAACTTGGTTTACCTGCACGGAGCATTGTGCGAGACATTAAGGCTATATCCACCTGTTCCTTTCCAACACAAGGATACTGTCGAAGCAGACGTACTTCCGAGTGGGCATCGAGTTGATCCGAACATGAGAATCTTGTTCAACTTGTATTCGATGGGAAGGATGAATTCGATATGGGGGGAAGATTGCTATGAATTCAAGCCGGAGAGATGGATTAACAAGCATGGAAGGATTAAACACGAGCCATCGTACAAGTTTTTGTCATTCAATGCAGGGCCGAGGACGTGTTTAGGGAGGGAAGTGGCGTTCATTCAGATGAAAATGGTGGCGTCTGATATGGTTTACAACTATCGTTTTCGTGTATCGGAAGAAACTCCGGTGGTTCCATCTCTATCCATCCTTCTGCACACCAAGAATGGACTGATGACTAGGGTTTCCTCTAGATGGGACTAAATGCATGACAGAAAGTTGAAACCTAGCTTATTATTATTATCTCAAACCTATGGATTGCATAGTTTATGGATAATTAAAAAATAAACACACATATTATGTAAACAAATATAATTATAAAATCCGATGCAGAATCTGATTCAAGCAGGGTTGGTGCGGATATAGTTGCTTTAAGAGCTCATCATCTTGCATTTCCTAAATCAACAGTAGTAGAGGGAGGATACTGCGCTGTTAGCCAAACAAGAGTTGATTATGAAAATAATGCTGAATTTCTAATCTCGGTGCTGCGCTTCTACCGGGTTTCTTCCTTGTGTTTACTTCAAATTTGTTGTTCTTCTCTCTCTTTGCTTTTGCAATAAAATATATCATCGGTCCCAATACATTTTGTAAAAGTTGATATTTAGTCCTTGTATTTATAAAGCTCAAAGAATTTCACCCTTTTATTTTTAGTTCAGTTTGATCATTTGTAAATATCGTCTATGAATTCAGTTCAAGTATATATTAATTTAAATCTTATTATGTTTGCAACCCAAAGATCCGATCCAAAAATTGGGACCAAATCGTGAAAATTACATAGGCCACTAAAGTGACCCTTAGAAGAAAAATATAATTAACAACTCATTTTAAAAACCATTGTCAAATAAAGTAGTAAAAAAATCATGTCACATTAAAAGAATGTTAGAAATTAATATTTAATTGATGAATGTAAAATCGAGATTAAATCTCTGACTGTCGAACTAATCTTATATCTGGATAATCTAAAATAAAAAGACAAAAAAAAGTGTGAACTATTAAATTCAGTCCCCTAAGTGTAAACAGACATCAACATAAAAACGTAAATATTTCAACATTAACCAACATGATATATCAACAATATTAATCAGACAAATTAATAGACCTAACTACCCATCATAAGACATTATAACAAATGATTATCAGAATTCTGTGTCTTTTTACAACCATACATGATGAAGACTTTATAGTCTAATGAGAAACCAAGTTAATTTCCAAAAGGAAACTCAAAACATAAGACATGATGAGGACTAATCCTCCGAAGAGAAACTCAAGTTAACATCAGAAGTAGAACTTAAAATAGTAAACAAGATGTGAACATTACCCTTCGAAAAGGAACTCAAATCAATAAACATGATTGCAACTGTATCGATCCTTCAAAGAGTAACTCAAACTAGTAAACATGATGGAGACTTTACTGTCTGAAGAGGAACACGAGACCTTCGTAGAGAGTCTCAATACAAAAATTTTCCATAATATTATCTAAAACCAATGAGGCTTGAGTAATACATTATCACATCATTATTATATATAGGGATAATTGCTATAATACCCTGGTTTCTATAATTTTTCAATCATATCTCTATTTTATTTTATAAAATATTTTATAAATATTATTTATGTCAAATTCGGGTTAATTAGGGTTTTTGTAAACTTGAATTGGATCGAGATACATGTGAAGTGGTGTTACGGTCAAGTCGAGTAGTTTGATTCGACTCATGACCATTCCTCTCTCTCTATATATATATACTCAAATAATTAATTTTTAATTGATGATGAGTTAGTTAGAAATTAATATTAACGTGAAAAGTTATATCGAGGTTATAGTCATTAAATTACACATAATTTAACTTTTATTATATACAAACTTTGAAAAATAGAGAGCCACCATGTAAAATACTTTAATTTCGAAAATAAAAGAAAATATATAAGATTCAAAATTTCAATGTCAATATTCAAAGTTTTATGTTTACTAATAGGTTGAAGGATTCTATATTGTTTTTTTGAATTAATCACTGATATCCGATCTATTAACCGACTAATCTAGATGGGTACTGCAGAGGCAAGGCAAGGGTGACCCTCCCAACCCAATTTGCTCCATTCGCAAACACCAGGATTCGAACTCCTGACCTTGCTTAAGGGACCTAGTATCTTATCCCACTAGACAATCTGGTTGTTGGTGAATTTATTATTCTGTGATATATAAATCTTGAATTGTTAATTTCTAATTAGCTTTATTTTAATTGTCTTTTATTGTTTGTACTTTGCAATAATAAGTAAGGGTACACTGTATTTTGTTATGTTTTTTATCACAAAAATACCAGTGATGAGATCACATCTTATGTGTTCTAGTTGTAGTCAGTTATCAATCTCCCTCGTGAAAAGGATGCTTACAAGAAAGAGATGCTTTTAACGTATACGTCTAGGTATGTTGATGGTAAATGTAAATTACAGCTGCCTTATAAATTAAATCAAGCTTCCTACTTCAATTAAACAATCTCCCAATGGCATTAGTAAACTTTTTCCAAGTGTTCCTGGCTCTCCTTTGCTTTCTGTTCCTCTATTGCCTTAGAAATAAACATGGGTCGACCCCAATGAGTTTTCCAATCGTCGGATCTATGCCGGAGCTTCTCCTCAACGTTCATCGGGTTTACGATTGGCATACCGAGACTCTTGAGAGGTGCCGTTGCACTTTTCTTGTTAAAGGCTGTTGAATCAAAATAGAGTAAAAACTCTAATTGATCGAGAGAAGAAAAAAACTCTTTAGAATAATCTCACAAAATTGCAAAAGGGAAGAACTCTTAAGAAAGCTTTCAAATGCTTATAATTAAGCTTTGATTGTTGGATGATAAAATTCAAATACAAGTAGGGTATTTATAGGTTACAAGAAACAATCTAAACCACTCATTAAAATAAGCACTAAATAATCTAAACCATTGAAATTAAAATATAAGAAAAATACTTAATTTCACCTACTAAATTGATGTAAACAATGACATCAAATTAATTTAGGTGTGAAACTTATTTAGGCTAATATTGAATTTTCAACACTCCCTCTCAATGTTAGCCTCCATTCTTTGAATCACGCCATGCTGACGACGGAATGTTCAAACTTTCCAACACTCAAGCTTTTTGTTTTGTAAACAGTCAGCAATTTGCTCATCTGTCTTGATTTGCCTCATCTCAATCTCTTCTTGCAAAACTTTTTCCCTAACAAAGTGGTAATGTACTTCCATGTTAGTTATTGCATGAAAGACAGGATTCTCCGCCAGCCGAATTGCCGATTGGTTGTCACAATACAACAAAATTGCATAATCTACTGGTTGAGATTATTCATCACTGTATCACCATGTACTTTCTTGAGCTGCATTGCTGCTGCCGATACTCAGCTTCAGTGGTTGACAATGATACGTTGGTTGTCTTTTGCTACACCAAGAAATTGTTGACCAAGCTTAAACACATATCCAGTTGTTGATCTCCTGGTGTCATGATCTCCTGCATAATCATCACAATAACCAAAACTTGCAGTCTTCACCTTTCTTGTACAAAAGACCATAGTCAATTGTATTCTTCACATATACGTTGGTTGTCTTTTGCTACACCAAGAAATTGTTCCGGAGCCAAGCTAAACACATATCCAGTTGTTGATCTCCTGGTGTCATGATCTCCTGCATAATCAGCATCACAATAACCAACTAACTTGCAGTCTTCACCTTCTTGTACAAAGACCATAGTCAATTGTATTCTTCACATATCTCAGTATTCGTCGAACTGCTTCCAAATGAGGCTTCTTTGGATTTTGCATATACCGACTCATCACACCAACTACATAAGAAATGTCAGGTCGGGTCAAGGTTAAGTATATCAGACTACCTACCAATTGCCGATACATTGTTGCATCTTCCAAATCTTTTCCTTCATATGCACACATTTTGATATTTGGTTCCATTGGCGTTGAAGTTGACTTGCATTCGAGCATTCCAAACCTCTTCAACAAATCTTTAGCATATTTCTGTTGACATATAAATATTCCTTTGTGTGTGCGATCAACCTCTAGACCAAGGAAGTGCTTAAGTTATCCAAGTTCCTTCATTTGGAAACGAACTGATAAATTCTCCTTCGTCTGAAGAATTTCTGCCTCATCATCACCGGTTATGATTAAGTCATCCACTTACACTAGCACGATAGCTAGCTTACCTTCATTGGCTTTGACAAACAAGCTAGAATCTACAGGTGTTACTGAATAACCACTTTTCGTTAGAAATTCAGCAATCTTACCATACCACGCCCTAGGTGCTTGTTTCAATCCGTAGAGTGCTTTTCGCAGCTTACACATATTCAGGATGATCTGACTCTGAAAACCCATTGGTTGGGTCATGTAGATCTCTCGATCTAGTTCTCCATGAAGAAAAGCATTCTTTACATCCATCTGCCACAAGTTCCAGTCTTTGTTGGCTGCAAGTGCAAGTAAGACTCATACGGTTGTAAGTTTCGCCACTGGACTAAATGTTTCATCATAGTCTAGTCTATACTGTTGAGAGAAACCACGAGCTACCAATCGCGCTTTGTACCTCTCGATTGACCCATCTGGACGGCGCTTTATCTTGTAAACCCATTTGCAAGATATGGGTTTCACATCTTTTATCTTTGGTACAATATCCCAAGTTTGATTTTGCTGAAGTGCATCGATCTCTTCTTTCATAGCTATCATCCACTCAGAACTCTTCGATGCTTCTTCGAACGTCTCAGGCTTCGTTGCTTCTTCAATTATGGCTGCATTGGCATATGGGATTTGGCCTTCGTATTCTTGTTGACCTTCGGAGTTGAGATTGTGGATTTGATTCTTCTGTTCACTAGGCCCACCTTCTTCGTTTGGTTGTTGATACACGCCAGTTGCCAAGGATTTTGAGTCACTCTTTGTTCGACATCATCACCATTGGATCTTTTGATTCATCGAACTTGTTTGGAGTTGAACAACATGCTCCCCATCTTTTGTTGTAGCTTGTCTCCAAATTCTCTCGAATCTGGCAACACCTCTTTCTCTGAGGACCACCAAGAAGATGCTTCATCAAATACCACATTTCGTGACGTGTAACATCTTCCACTAATTGGATCACAACATTTCCACCCCTTTCTCTGGCTGTCATATCCCACAAAGATACATCTACAGCTTTCTGTCAAATTTGCTCCGTAAATGATCAGGAACAAACACATAACATACACAGCCAAATACTCGAAAGTAGCTAACTGTAGGTTTTATGTTTCATAGTTTCTCAAAGGGTGAAACAAATCCTAACCTTGGTTGAGAAAGTCTGTTGATCACAAAGGCTGCAGTCCTCATTGCTCAGCCCAAAACCTTCAGGTACA